ATGGATAGGTTTCGAACTCAGTGATTGGTACGTCGTTAAGCTGCCGTTGTTTTTCTGAGTCATACTCTAGTACATTTTTGCTGCCCTTCAGGATAGTTAAGTTATCGAGACATATGAGTTCAGAGTGTCCGCAGAAGTTCGAATATTAGACCAGTCAGGTTCTAGTATTGCAATATTAACGCGACAAAACGAAAAGGATTCTATCCTGTTACTATACATTTATGGATGCAGTGTTTGGAATTAAATTTTTCGTTCATATAATGAGCTTAAGTGGAAGATAAACAGAAAAGTGAACTTTTATGTGTTCTAAGAATGTTTTGGAAATCTTGCATCGCATTTAGGCAGATCTTAGGTATGTACAGTATGTGTAAACGATGTTTTTCATTCTCAACAGTGAGGGTAAGTAATTTCTGAAAAATTCACATCACACGAAAAAAACTTTCGACAGCTGTTCTGATAATAATTGCTATAATAATTTCTACAATATGGATATATACTAAAGTTTAGACGATACAGAGAAAATTTGCATGGCCGCTGCGCACGGCTGACATGCAAATTTCTGAAGCGGTGCAAAATTTTTGGGTGGCGATGAGGTTTGAACTCAAGCTGCTGAGTTCGAATCGGCCGGTTGAACAGACAGCCTTTCTTTTTACCGCCAATCCCCTTGAGCAAGGAAGTGACCCCACGTTGTTTCGATGCAACAAGCAGAGCAACGGGTATAAAGTCGATGACTTGCGAAAGTCAGGGATAGCATGATAATCTGGTCTTGTCATATCAGAGTAGACGGGGTATACAGTCATGCTGTCTGACGGGAGTACCCCCTGTGATTGCGTTTCACCTTGATTCACCTGATGGCTAATTATCCAGTGTAATAATCAGCAATAGGTATAACCATAATTATTAGTATTATTAGTTCATCTGACGGACAGAACAGCTCACCTCCTTTTAGAGTGACTTTCGCTCTTCATCCGTCGGCTGCTTCGGGTAATTTGCAATGGAAGGCCCTATATTTGTCAAGCGCCGTATTAACTTCAGGTATTTCTAGTTGGACCTTGTCCTTGATATTTGTTTTTATATGGTTGTTTATAGACCAAGCCTTCCGATAACGCATTTGATATCATCCAATGGCCGCGTGGTGATTGGAATGAAAGAAGCAAAGGTGTTGAGGATCCTTGTTCAAAACCCTGATTCTGAGAACGGTAAGTATTCCTACGTTGATAATGCTGATGTTATGTAATAATGTTTTCCATGAACGCTGCTTGATCACCGGAGGTATTCATTTTCACAGAATCGCCATCATTTTAAAGACTGCGGCTTCTCGTTTTCTCGTATGCTCTCTTTATGCACCTATCAAGTACATGTTTCAGACCTGTCTGTTACAGTGTCTAGCGTTGTACTAAGTTATATGCAATATTAAATTACCCTTGAAAACTCCTGCTGATGGTATACGCTTTTTACCTTAACTGAATTGCTAAGATTCAGTGGTTGCTAATGCAAGTATGTTAGTCACTGCATTATTCCTTTAAAATCACACGTCGTATTCGACCACCCCTTACTTCTTTTTTCC